GCGCTTGGGTTGGGGGGGCTTCCAAGTGAGGCTGCTGACCCCCCAGCCCCTTGTTTTACTCTATCAGTTTCTTCCCAGAGCCTGTTCAGCCTGGGCCAGCTATGGACTGAGATGATCCCACTCTGGCCTCCTCATCCTTGCTAAGCTGTCACAGGTAGAAGGTAGAAGTGGTCCTTCCCACCAGCAGAAGGCTAGGACCCTGAGGCATGTTCTGACATGGCCCACTTAGGGTACCAGGTTGGGACCCTGGTATTTGACACAGGAGGTCCTGGTCAGTGCTTCCAGGACAGGGGCAGTGTCTACTGTGGGCTCATAAGCCAGTCTAACACCCTGTCTTTTCCAGGATGACACCATCTCCATCAACCATAACTGGGTCAATGGTTGTAACCTGGCCAACATGTGGCACTTTCTGCAGCAGGAGCTCCATGCTGTACAGGAGGAGGTCAGCCAGTGGAGGGATTCCATGCCTGAATGGCACCACCACTGCCAGGTAAGGCTACCTACCAAAGATGGAGGCAGGGGTAGAGCAAGGGAAAGGCCCAACAGGACTTGGGGTGGGGGAATTACCTGGGCCAGGGTTAGAGGCCAGGGTAGGTGGAGTTGGGATATATGTGGGGTGCTCACTGTGGCCAGGGCCACAGCCATAGTTGGAAGGTAGGTGAGAGGTAGGTCTCCAATGACAGCCTGTTATCTTGTGTGTGGCCCGTAAGGCCCAAGCTATGTATGTGAGCGCATTGGTCTGAGGGCCAAAGCAGATCATCAGGGCCAGGCTGCCATGTTTGGGGGTGGGGAGGAAAGGGAGCTTCCAGGCTGGGTGACTTAGATCCCTCTGGTTGCCATCTGGCCATTTGTTTCTTACTGGTGGTCCCCTGCTCTTCATCCTTGAGGCTCTCTCTGCAGCTATCGGAACTCTGCTGGGGTGCTGAACATACAGTTCATTTGGTCTCCCTCCTCTCTGGTACAGGTCATCATGAGGTCCTGCTCAGGGATAAATTTTGAAGAATTTTACCACTTCCTCAAGGTCATTGCTGAAAAGAGGCTCTTCATCTTGGGGTGTGGGGAGACCAGGGGTGATATGGATGCTGGTCTGGGCCCCGAACAGGCTGCTTTTGATGTTGGCCGCATTGCAGAGGTGCTGGCATCTGTGATTGAGCACCCTGACTTTCAGAGAGTGGACACCAGTGCCTTTTCACCTCAGCCGGAAGAGCTGCTGCGACAGTTGGAAGAGGTGGTTACTGCTACCACAGCCCTTTAGTGCTTGCCAGGAGAAAAGTAGGGCACCTTGGAGGCACCATGGAGGAGGGTAGCCTCCTTGCTCCAGGTCCCTTCCAGAAATAAATACCATCTTCACCTTTGTGACCTGGGAAACACCCCTTAAGCCCTGTGGCTTTGGTGTCCTCAAGAATAACTCCTCTAATGAGGATCTGATTTAGACCTAGCTGTCCATAGCAATTTCCCAAAGGTCCAGGCTGCTGTTCTGGGTGAGGCCCATTGAGGACAAGAACTGTGGATCTATGTAGAGGGTCCCTAGGTGAGAGTATATTGGTCTGTCTGACCTGTAGCAAGCCTGCTGAGGAGTTGGGTATCAGATGGTAGCAGTAGCAGTGTGACTGGGTTTCTGGCCAGCCCTTGGCTCCCCTTGTGAGGGTCAAGATGCTTGAGCCAACAGGTGTTCATAAAAAGGCCCCTTTGTGTGGCCCAGCTTCATCCCTTCATCACAGGCCCACATGCAATCACCCCTAGTCCTCCCCACACTTGGCTCTGCCCTGATGGGCTTCAGGGTTCCAGATAGGCAAAGAGGAGTTGGGCACAGTGCTGCAGGTCCAAACCAGGTGTGTGAAGCTAGGCATAGTCCACCAGCATTTTGTGACTGACAAAAATCCTTGTACTGATGAAACCAGAAGCTCAGGATGGAGATGGTGCTGAGAGCAAGCCTGTGATTTCTTTCCTTGGTACACCCTTGCTGGGGCTGGGCCCGGGCCTGGACCCCTGTGCCTGCTTTGCCAACCCATAGGCCAGCCCACCCCAGCTTAGCTCACCTAGCTATCTTGGTAGTGGCAGGGATGGCAAAGAGCTTCCATCAGAAAGAGGTCTCCATCCATACCCACCTTTCCCCATCTTTTTGGGAAGCCTGACACACCACTGAAATGTCCACCTGGACAGGGAGAAGTGGGGCCTACCCTGTTCATTGCACTAGCTGTACACAGGAGCTTTGAGAACTTCTGAGGGAGAAAGGAACAAGCTGAGTCTCCCCTGCCAGGTCTTCATAACTTACATTCTAGTGTGGCTCTCTTCTAACTAAAGCAAGACTCAGGAAGCAAAACCCCAGCCTTCTCCAGCTTCTCATGTAGGTGGACACTGAAAACCAAGGTGGGAGGCCAGTGTATGAGCAGATTGATCACTATGCTCTGTGTATTGGGCTCCTGATCAGGTAAGAATGGGCACATTGACTGTGTTGGGGATGGATCATCACCCCAGCCTCCCCTCCCACCAGTTACCTAAACACTAACTCCTTCCCCTGTAGGAAAGCCCCAGATCTCAGCTCCCTATCAGAAATCACAAGGTGTGTGGAGGCTCTAGGGTTCCACCCAATTCCTCCCTCTAGGTCCAAAGTCCATTTGTTCACAAAATTGATTGAGGGCCCACCTTCCCTATCACAATGGAAAGATGCATCTACATCTACAAGAGGTTAGGAGGATGTCACATCTAATGCACTATGGATGCAACCTGCCATGACTGGCTGATTCTATCACCCAAACAAAATTTGCCTGTTGATTGATTTGCCAATAATGAAACAGTAAGTTTGCAATTAAGGGGAAGTCTACTTTAGAGTTTACTCAAGGGGAAGATGAGAGTAAAACTCAAGAATCACACACCCATTTGGAGGTGGTTAGGAGTTTTTAAGAACTAGAAAAGGGCAGATTAGATACAATCATGGGTTAATTTATAACAGAGTCAAGGAATGTAAAACAAAGATACAGGATAAGAGTTGACATTTTGACATTTTATCTTCAGTCATCATGGTGTCAGGTCCTGTTTTCATGTTTAGCTTTTTTGGGTCACATCTGTTACCTGTTCTGCTTCTGAAAAACAACTAAATTATGTCTCATGACTGAAAAGGAATAGTCTCTGCTACTGTTATTTATTTTACAGGTTGGCCATACAAGCAAACAAAACAGGTTAAAGACTTTAGAGATTTTCCTGCACCCATCCTACACTCCTTTCAGTGGATGATTGTCAAAATATGTATGTGGTCAAGTATCTTTTTTTGTGTGTGAGAGGCATTTTTACTTTTAGGGTGTGTGTGCTCACCAGAGAGACAGAGAAACAAAGTGAGAAATCCCCACCTGGGGCGATAGCCATGCCACAATCCCTTCTCTTCCATTCTCCTCTCAGGATTTTGGGCATGCACTCATATCCACCTGGCATGAGTTTCAAGCCACTGGGTCTTGGACTTGAACTATGATCAGCCATGTAGTGGTTTAGTGCCTCAACCACTGCATCACCTGCTGGTGTCTGTGGTCAAGTATCTTAACACAATTGATGGCTCATTTTTACCATCATGTGTTTTAGGAAATAGGTAATGTTCACTTTTATGTGGACACTACAAATTCTTTTAGATGGAGGAGGGATGTATGAGACTGCCTGTGGACATACTTTATAAATAATTTGGTAACAAAAGTGAGCACATGATATTTTTGTTCTTAGAATTACATCAGATATTTAAATGCAGAACCACATAATGATCAGTTCCTTGAAAACCTTTATCTCAGCACAGGAACATTCATTTATCTGCTATTTGTAGTTGCATTAATGTGGTGTGTTCTTTGTGATTTCATGACTGGACTTTTGTTGTTTTATAGTCATGAGAACACATTCATATAGAAGACCTAAACATCTTTGGTTTTCAGTGAAACACAACCTGATAATACAAAAAAATCTGTTTTACTATTTTGTTACACTGATCTCCATTGAACTTGTATCTAGGTTGTTTTAACCCATTATTCTTTACACTTGTGTAAAGAACATATGTCTTCACACTTGTGTCTTTATACCATTTTGGAGGAGTAGAATTTTTGTCATTCCATTATCTCTAGCAACAAAGACAGTTTCAGATCTATAAGGGAAGATGTATAATAGTATTTATTAATTTAAAAATTAGTACAAGGACCAGCAGTTGGCGTGATGGCTATGTCGCTGGACTCCCATGTAGTCAACCGTGGTTTGAGTCCCAGACCCAGTGACTTAAAACTCATGTTGGGCACATGTGCATGCATGCCCAAGATTCTGAGAGGAGAATGTAGGAGAAGGGATTGAGGCATGGCCATCCCCCCTGGGGAATGATTTCTCATTTTCTGTTTCTCTGTCTCTCTCTGTCTTTCTAGTGAGCACACATGCCTATGGCAAAAACCTCTCCAAAAAATATTAGTACAAAGGCAGGATATTTCTAGTGTGGTTTGTCTTTCTTTCATCATAAACAGTACAAAGCAAGTTCCATCTTATATAAAATACATGTAAGACATAAACATGGACACACACACACACAAACACACACACAAGAATGAACTTCCAGACTTTGTGTTCTTGTAACCCAAGGCTGATTACTTGAGTTGAGGAGAAATATGCTATTATAAGGGTTGGTGTCATTTGAGAATGTGTCTGTGAACTTCACCTGGGAGGAGTGGCAAGACCTGAATAATACTCAGAGGACCTTGTGCAGGTCTGTGATGCTGGAAACACACAACAGCCTGATGTCCTTGGGTGAACAGAATTCCCCATTAACTCCCAGGAACAAGTGCTTTCATTTTTGCTGGCAAATAAATGACCCTTTATAAGGTTTAATGGTGTTCAGGTGTGTATTTCAATGCATGAAGAATGTGTCAACCCTTTCTAAAACAAAGGTTCAAATTGACCCTTTCATTACACAGTTGTTAAAGCCAAGCTGCTGTCATTCTTTAAAGGAACTGACTTAACAATTTGACAAAAGTTCTACAATATTTTCCATTTACAAGTCTGAATTGATCAAGTTGGGGCAAGGAGCAGAGCCATGGATGGTAGAAGAACCCTCAAACCAGAGCCACCCAGGTTAGTACATACTGGTTAGGGAGGCTGGAAGAAGGGGAACTTGGTATATATTGGCAGTGTTGAAATGTTTTTGCCTGTTTTTCCCCAGGTTCCAGATCTGAGGATAGCATACATATTCTTTATACAGTCTCCAAGGAAGGCTTTCACATATATTTATCCTCTACTTTTTTGTTGTTGTTATCTTTGATTTACTATAAGTCCATTCACTCTTTTGCTCTTATAGAGTTTTATTTTGGTTAGTTACTTTGTCTAAATTCTAAATTGCTCTTCTTTCTGTCATTTTTAATGTATTATTTTCTTTTAGTCATTTATTAATGCATTCATTAATTCTTTTCAATGCTTGTTAATTGAGCAACTCATAGTCACAATTTGTAATTTCAGGGGTAACAACAGTTACCAAGAAAAGTTTATATTCTGTTAAGAGTGAAAAAATATGGGCCAGCAGGGTCATGATGGTTAAGGTGGTTGGATTCCTACATGGCCTACCATGATTTAAATCCCAGGCATGTGTGCATGGATGCCCAAAATCCCAGGAGGAGAATGGAAGAAAAGGGATTATGGCATGACTATCCCCCATGGGAGATGATTTCTCACTTTCCCTCTCTTTGTCTGTCTCTGGCAAGTGTACATGCCCTATGGCAAAAACCTTAAAAAGAAAAAAAATACATATGTAGTTGTAGGGTATGAACCACAAAGGCTGTTTTATCAGCATGAGAGAAAAATAGGTGTGTTGTTTTATGAAAGATGCTATGAAAATGAAATTTTAGGGGCATTATTATTTATTTATACTTGGATATCTTAATTTTGAGATGACTGTTACCTAAATCTGACATGTAAATATGTAAGTGGCTATACAATTTAAGACACAGATTGTGTATCGCTATTGGATATACAACATTGAAATCTGATAGCTTAAAGCTGGTATTTAAAGTCATTTTTACAGAAATCACCTAGATTGTTGATGACAAAATGAGGAAAGAAGTCCAGGGGCAACTTTTTGTCCCATGACATCAGAAATTATGAAAGTGAGGTGATCCCATCATAGGAGTGTGGGAAGTGATGGTATATTGGACATGGGAGGAGGACCAGATTGTGGTCCCAAAATGATGTGAACTAAGGGATTCATGTTGGGGGGTTTACATTTCTATTTGGGAGCACAGTTCAAAGCATCATATCCTCTCTTTCTGGACATCATTCTAAAATAGTAAAGGCAGTTGAAACTCCATAGTACAAAATAAAAGCCTTGGGAGCAGTGAATTGCCTACCAGGAGTGTGTGTTCCAGGAAGGGGAAAGATAACTCCAGTGCTTTTGAGCTTAGAAGGCTCTCAAAAAAGACTTTTCAAAGATGATGGGCAGTTTTCAGTTGCAAACCCAAATCTTTTAGACAAGTTTGTATAAATAGTTGGACTGAAGCATCCTGTATCTGTTAAGGTGCCGAAAAGAAGATGTTTGATTAAATTAGGTATTTGGAAGAAGTTCTTTGTCTATTGAGGAAGAAGAGATATTTCATTTGAGAAGCTCACAGATGCCTATTGCTATTTTCCAGAGAAAAGTGAGGATTAAACAGACATAGGTCCAAATCATTCTTTTTTTCTTTTAAAGAGGTTTTTGCCTTAGGATGCATATACTTACTAGAGAGAGACAGAGACAGTGAGAGGGAAAGTGGGAAATCACCCTCCCAGGGCCATGGCCATGCTGTAATCCCTTGACCTCCATTCTCCTTCTGGATCTTGGGCATGAATGCACATGCACCTGGCATGATTTTCAAACCACCAGGTCTGGGACTTGAACTGTGGTTGGCATGTGAGAGTCCAGTGACATAACAACTGTGCAATCTCCTGGCCCAGGTCAAAATCATTCTTAAGTGATATTCTTGCTTAGGTGATTCACAAATTGTTATCTTATACATCCTGTAAGTAGTTGATCCAGGAAAAATTGTACTCTTTAAAGCAAAAGCGTTAGTAAAAAAGAAGCACAGAATACCCAAAACAAGAAAACTAGATAAAGAACAGGGAGAACAATATGGGTGGAAAAACTATGTTTCTCTTACTATGCACTCAACACAGATTACTTTTATTATCCCTAAGTGTGTGGAAATTTATACTTACCAGCCATCAAGCAATCAGTTCTGCAGCAGACATCAGCTGGGCATCTTATAATCCAAGGCAGTTTTCATGCTATTTACCTAGAAATAGTGTCAAATACCACAGGTTAAGGGATCAGACCCACAAGACAACTCCCACCTTAGATGCCAGGCACAAGTCTAGGCCTCTGTAACCTTTTACCAACTGACTTCAATTTCTGGTTCCCACGACTCTCTTTAGACTTGATTAATTTGCTAGAGTTACTCACGGAATTCAGGGAATCACTTACATTTACTAGCTTTTATAAAGGACATTTTGAATAACCCAAATAAATAGCCTGATGAAATACATAGAGTGAGTTCTAGGAGGATCCCAAACATAGGAGCTGCTGTCCCTGCAGAGCTGGGGTGCCCCAACCTTCTGGCAGGTGGATAAGTTCTTGTTCACTTTCTTGCAAGCCTTCAGGTGTTCAACTTTCTCGAAGGTTTTTGAACCCTATCATTTTATTATTATTATTCGTACATTCAATCGCTATATCATTTAGATTGTAAAGAGATTTTACCCAGCATGGTACACATCTCAGTCCAGTTGAGAATACTATACACATACTCATCAACAGATAACAAACTTTATTTGTGTCCCACAAATATCTCTCCATTTTTCTCCCCTAATTTCCTTTCCTCACTCTTCCCCTCCCACACTCTTTTATTCTTCCACTTTGTCTCTAGTGTCCATAACAATTTTAAATGCTTTTATGTCTTTCAGTCTTTCAGTCTCTACCATAGAATGCAGACAGTCTGTATATGTTAAGTGGAGACATACAGTGTCTCTCTTTCATAGCCTGACTTGCTTCACTCAGCAACAAATCTTCCATATTCATCCATTTTCTATCAAATTCTAGGGCCTTGTCGTTTTTTTATGGCAGAATAATATTCCATGAAGTATATGTGCCACACTTTTTCAATCTATTCATCCATTTGTGGACATTTGAGTTGGCTCCATGTCTTAGCAATCGTGAATAGTACTGCAATAAATATAGTTGTGCAAGCACTTTTCCAATTAATCATTCTCTTGTCCTTTGGATAGATGCCGAGGAGTGGAATTGCTGGATTCTATGGTAGTTCTATTTAAAGGTCTTTGAGGAAACTCCATATTGTTCTCCACAGTGGCTGGACCAATTTACATTCCCACTTACAATGTAGGAGTGTTCCCCTTTCACCACATCCC